GTTGTTCATCTATCGATACTCCTACAGTCAAAACTTAAGTTTACCAAAGTTTATTACTTAACAATTTCAAACAAGAGAGAGTAAACACCTTGTATGTATTATTCTATAATGAGATAGCCAACCAGCAGTAAAATTGCAACAAATACACTTCAAACTGAATAGTATAGACCAGTAAGCATGTGACAAAAGTGAAACTGTCTGAAGTTAATAAAACTGAGCAAACTGCTCTTGGAAACACCTGTTGATATGACATTGCTTGAAGCATAGATGGGTTCCAGAAATAAAGCAAGTTATATCCTTCTCTGAGTGAAAACCAAGAAGTACAGACACCAAAAACTAATGTACAAAAAGATTGAAATCTGAGGATTGAGATGGCTCTTCAAGATAAACTGACAGATTGCCAAGAACCAACAGAAAAACAATAAGAGAATCTCTAACAGGTTTCTGCTCAATGCCCAGTCAGATTATCTTATGGAACTGTCATTTTAATCCTGTAAAAAATTATAAATACCCCAAAACATGCTTCCTTTAATAAAATTTTCAGGCAAAGGACCAAGTCTGATAATGTAAGTTGCTTCTTATATAATCTTTTTTCCCATCCACAAAATCAAAGACCCTCAAGTTTGATAAACTTGTGCATGGTTTGTTTCCAATGTCATACATAATGAAAGCAGTATAAAAGTTTCTATTTCATTCAAATTCAGCACCTAACTATCAAACAAAGACACATTATCCAGAGCTGGCTTGTCAGTTTCAGACTTCTGATGATCCAGAGGAAGTTCACAGACCTCTTGTGCATAACCATCAATAATCAGAGGTCAACAGAAAGTTACCTGGACTTCCCACTGTAACACAGTAAACTAGCAGAAGTCCAGAGGAAGCTGGTAATCAAACAACCACAGACTGAGCCAGAGGAAATGGAAGCAGAACATGTCTTTGGCCTGTTTTAACAACTGGACTCGAGAAGCCATCACAAATGAGGAACTAGAGGATCTTCCACACTTCAACTGAAAAGATGTTGAATTGGAGTAAGTGAAATAATTTACTTTTTTTTACAACTCAGTTGATCAATATAATTGTCACTGGAACAAATGGTTTCCACATGACAAAGGAACATTTGCACACATTTCTTTCATGTGCAGTATGTACTAAAAAAAATCATGCAAAACAACACCGAAGATAGTACAACAATGTCATGAAGAATAATATAACAAGCCTAAAAACCTTCAACTGCATTTGTATCCAAATTCGGTATGATATACTAACATTCTTCCAACTATATTGTAATGCAATATAAAAAGTCTAACATCATCTGAATAGTTTGTCATCACAGATCTCGTAGCTTACTGTACTCGCTAACTCTAAATATCCTTTCCTGATGTCAAATAAAAATGTTCCTGTAGCTTTGAAATGGAGTTAACATAAATTATTACAATAGAAAGTAACATCAAAAGAAACTACAAAAAAATCACCTGTCTGTTATCTGTTCCTAAGTATTAACTTCATATTAGAATCCTTTGTTTACCAGTGTGAGAGCTCTTGCTAGATTTTTCAAGAAGCTACAAACCACTGCTACAACTACCTTATACTCGACACTGCAATGCTTCTCAACTGGGTGAATGGTTCACCCAGGGGTTTATGAGATCAGAATCAGGGTGAATAGCAGGATGAATGAGTATTATCAATTATATAACAAATTCAAGAGCAAAAAGTCATCAGTTATTATTATTTATTCTAGTTGTAGTATGATGTATATTTATGTCATAATAAAGAATTTCGCACTTTCGTTTAGTACTTCTTTGTCTTTTTTTCGAACTGGCGTGAGTAAGCTGTTGTGAAAAACTTATAAGGGTGAATGATATTGGAAAGGGTTGAGAAACACTGCAACTTATAGGGGTGAATGACATTGGAAAAGGTTGAGAAACACTGCAACTTATAGGGCTGAATGACACTGGAAAGGGTTGAGAAGCACTGCAACTTATAGGGCTGAATGATACTGGAAAAGGTTGAGAAACACTGCAACTTATAGGGATGAATGATACTGGAAAAGGGTGAGAAACTGTAACTATTGGGCTGAATGATACTGGAAAAGGTTGAGAAGCACTCCACCTTATAGGGCTGAATGATACTGGAAAAGGTTGAGAAACACTGCAACTTATAGGGGTGAATGATACTGGAAAAGGTTAAGAAGCACTGCGACTTAAAGCTGAATGATACTGGAAAGGGTTGAGAAACACTGCAACTTATAGTGGATGAATGATACTGGAAAAGGTTGAGAAGCACTGGTCTACAGAAATGGGAATAAAGAAAAATAAGTTCCATATAGTTGTCGTTAGTGGCTGTTTCCATCTTTTTTTTTTCAAAGCTTAGATTCTATAGTAATTGTTCACACAACATTCTGTATGACATTATAAAAGGCTGGCCACAAAGGGCTGTAGTAACAAAACAAGTGAGGAAGGGAAAATGACATGAGAAACAAGACATGATCATCATATTTCTAAAGGACAATAGCTTCTGAGCAAATATGTACCTGTACATTGGGATAATCATATATTCATAAAAACAAACTCATAAATGTGTTGTTTACAAACAAGCAAGGCTTAATGGAACTCTGCAGAAATTAAATATGAATCTTTTTTTATTTTTTTTTGTGTGAAATACTGCAAATAAAAGCTATATAATTTTAAAATATTGATAAAACAGAACTAGAATCATATTTTTTTATCCGCTATTAACTACAGCAGAAGACAGATTTTGTCAAAAATCTATTTCTCTAATAGATCGAGTTAAGAAAAATGCTTTACCGGAGGGCAGGTATTTCTGTTAGTAATAATAATAACAAAACTCATTACCACAGAAAACTACCACATTGTAAGTTGCAGCAAGACAGGACTAATTACATCATATTTCAGTTAAATCACAAAATGCTAAGGATGAACCCATCACAGCCTTGTAACCAACAGTTTGTGAAATTGTTATATCACACTGAACATCATTACAATATTCTATACAATGTTCTTTAGGAGAAAAATTCATAAAACAGATACCTCTTCTTTGTCCACAAAGGCATCCAAATCTCCCCCATCTTTGATTTCTCCTTTTTTATTGAGTTCTCTAAACTTTTTCTTCTTGCTCCAACCTTTCTTGTTATCTTTAACCAGAAAATAAAAGAGTAAAGTCTTAAAAAATGAAAATAACCAAATAAAGCACCAATCAGAACAAGTTGTGATCTCTTCCTGCTAGAAACATCAGTAAAAAAACTAACTAAAACACTAGAGAATTAAGACTAGTAATTACCTTCAAAATACTAAAGAAAAACTACCAATTTATTTATAATTCCATATGATTCAATCTAAAGATGCAGTTTAAATGACTAGAATTCAGAGCTGTAATAAAGGGCAGATTCTGACCTTCAGTAGTACTGATTTGCATAATTTACTAATGATGTCATCATAATTACTCGTTTATATTTGATTGAAAACCCTTTTCTTTCACATATAATCTATATGAATGAAATAAAGGCATTCATTTGTAGTTTTAAAATGTTATTTAAAACAATCATGTTCTTATACTGAAAACAAAATACACGTTGTTTATGTACACATGTTTATGTTACACGTAATACACTAAGCTCGTATTGCATGAGCACCTTTCCCTGACAATTAAAATATTGCAGTTGACACAAGTCAAACAAATCTTTATGTAACAGTCATCAATATAAGCAGAACAAGTCAGTCTTTTTAACATAACATTGTTGATTAATTAAACATTAAAAATATTAATGTTAATCTATATTTTGTGTTTCATGCTTACTAAAACATAACACTCCTCTTACATAATGCAGCTTCTAAACATAATGATCTACTCCAATACACAGAAAGAACTGCTACAAATAGTTTTGATAGTGTTTGTTTTTTTATATTTAATTAATGGGCATTATTCAAACCAAACCGTTAAGTTTTCCATGTAAGTGACATAACTATTCAAACATTGTAAAGTAGTTTCTGTTGACAAGAAAAAACATCTGACATTGCTCGAATGCCACCTAAAGAAACTTTGAATGTTTACAACTATCTTTGAATTCCTGGCTAACAAACAATTCTTTGAACACAGCCTTACTAGAAACTACAATTCATTAAAATTGTGCTTAAAAAAATAACTTTTATAATGAAAGTCCAATATTAACTACTTGTACGTGTTCCATGCAAGTTATACTTTTATAAAAAATGAAAAACATACTTGAATAATTTATCTTCATCATGAATTTAACATAATCTACAGACAACAAGGTAACATTTGGTCTTTCAAGGCCATACTTACACAACCAAGGACAGAATTATCCATAAAAAGTTTTCAAGATTATCTGAGGTATTAATAGTATAAAGTCCTCTTGTTTCTTTGCACTACATTCTGAAGATAAGGACATGAGAAGACGCAGACTAGGCTCCAGTTAAGACACTTTACACGTTTCTAACAGTGACTGTCACATGGAATGTACATTTACGAAGGAAACTAATGATTTATTCAATAACAAAGAGTGTACTGCAAGGACATTCTTGTAGGAATAAAAGGTTCATTTATCCATATGTTATACAATTAAAGGAAACTCAGTTTAAAAGTAAATTATTTTAAATATTTTCCATAAATCTGTAGAAGAACCTATAAATTCTTTAAGGGCATATGGATGAAGAAATCACAAACATATAAACCCAAGTTTCATCCTCTTTTTCATAATTTAAATAATTTATCCACATTAAAAAGTAGTTATCAGTTTACTCAGGTACCTTATGAAGTTGGCTAATCCACCTTTGTTAATCATCTAGTTATTTGTTCGATAGGTTTCATAACAGATGTACAACAAGGGACTGTTTGGTCTTTCAAGGTTATCCCGTCCTTACACAACCATCATCAAGAAAAATAATATATAGAATAATTTGAAACCCACCTTTTATTTCTCAGGAATTCATCAACACCCCTCTTATATTCCTGTAACATTCTGGTGCTTGCTGCTGTTGAAAACTCATTCATTAAGCTAATCACACTTTTAAAAATATAAAGCTGTCTTGACTGGAACCTAGCCTCTCTCATTTCAAATCTCAAACTGTTTTCCTTTCATCCTATTGTTTGTCGGATACAGCACAAAGAAACTAAAGGCCCCTATTCTACTAATTATATTGGTTTGTCTACCTATGTTTATTATCAAATCACATGGTTTGTAGAAGTTGATTATAAAGATAGCCTGTGAACTAGCATGGAAACCTGGTCAGTAGATGTTGGGTATCTTTGTTAATTATCACCTGAACCCGCATAAACACTTGAAATACTTCTTTTTCAAGGTCAGTTTGAAAGGAATTATACATTCTTTTACCAGAAAAACCAGTAAATTAGTTATAAATTTATTTCACCTTTAATATTTGTAAAACCAGTGAGTCAATAAATGTAAATAATAATAATAAAAACAGCTGATAACACAATCTAATCAACAAATGTTTTCAGTCCACATAAACATTTAAAATCAGCACACTTGGTTTGACTTGCCAAGTATTAGCATTTTGCTTATCAAGATTTTTCTGTTCAAATTTTTAATAATAAAATTTCTACTTGAGTTTGTTTCCAATAGATATCAATAAAAATGCAAACAAGTACTTAAAACCATGTCAAAAATATTTTATACCTATTAAAAATTAATGTTTTTAAATTTAAAAACTAACATTTATATTAATAAAGTTATTCGTTTATATATATATATATATATATACACCTAAGTACTGTTAAAGTAAATATGAGTTAATTACTTCTTCCCATGCTTGTTAATTAACTAAACTGCCTAAAACTTCTTTATGATCTTATCCCTTAATGCCATTATGAACGCTTATCAACTTTGTAATATATAACGAAAACACATTAAGATATGCATTGTAGTTATACTGCAGAAACACGTGTATTATGTAGTTGAATTTGAAGTAGTTCTCATAGCTGACAAGGAATAACTGGTGTAAGATGTAAGTAGGAACCATTTTATCATCAAATAGCACAAATCCTGCGCCTCGTGAACAAATATTTTTGTTATTATTAAGTAACACCCATTCCTTATTAATTTTTTTTATATCGTTAACAAAACTCTTGTTTTCAACTTAGAATTAGACCTATCACTTTTGTGCCTAATTTTAACTTGAGAGTCGAGGTTATTCTTAACTTACCCATACCCGTCTTAGTCTTAAGTCTTACTCTAGTCTTAGGCCAGGTTACTGCGTAACGATATCCTTACCTCTGTTACGGCGAAAGCCATTACAACTAGGCTTAGCACTTGACATCTTTCTTCCGTGTATGAAATGCAATGCATTAATTTCAACAATTAATAAAATATTAGAACAACATTCTGTGCATTCCTTGACCGACCGCTAAGGTGAAGGAATGCTCCCATCATGGCTGCTGGAAGATTCACTCAGTCCTTCCCATAAGCACACGAGTACACTAGTCTCAGCCCGTAACCTACAATTTCAGCACACTGAAGCAGTACGGGACGATTTCGCTCGTCACTACTCCACGCGAAAATGCACATATTAGTTACTTTCCCGAATTTCGGCTAAACCTGCATGTAACTCTAGACAACAGCGCCCATTTTTAAGAAATGTTATTACAACAAACTATTGCATGAAACTTTTATACTGGGGTTCAAACGTATTAATAATTTTAGAAAATATAAGTAGGTAGGGCTTCGTTTTATAATTAAAATAATCTATTATATGTTTGTATGTGAAAAATATATAAACGTAAAAGTACACTATAGTTTCACCAGTCACTCAAAAGTAATAACAGTACATTGAAAATAGAAATAATATTAAATACATAGTAAATTTTTCAGCTTAACAGATAATACATCAACATGAAAACAGGGGGGGGGGGGAGGGCAGATGTAAAATATTTCCATTCTTCCAGAAATGCTATAATCTAATTAATTTTTATGAATGCCAAAATAGCCTCGTTTGCTGGGAAATAATAATCTGAATGAACACAGTGATATTTAAACTCGTCATGTGTGATTGAATAAAACAAACGAATATATTTTTTAAATAATGGCTGGAGATATTAAAATATTTAAAATCAAATGACTATTTGATTACTGTAAGTGGTAGTACATTGAAAACCTAGCATTATATGGTACCGAGAAGCAAGATATTGTACCGTCATGTAAGAACAGTTTAGCAATGTCACTAACAGCCAGGGGGGGGGGGAGCTTACTGGCTTTTATTTCGCTGTCATGGTTTGAAGCTAGCCTATCGCCACGACCTTACAGAAATTAATCAATAATTTGGTACGCCGAACGGAACAAAAAACGTCACGATATGCAGGGCATGAACAATTTCAGAGAAATGTTTACGAAAGTTACTATTTCAAACTTTAGTGTCACGTGCTTTTGTAATTCCTAGTCCGTGTGTAAAACCGAAGGTCACTGTTCAAAGGTCAGTCACCATGTGCAAAAGTGGAAAATATTTTCGTATCATGCAAGCTTCACGAGTAAGATAAGAATATTATCTGTAAGTTATCTGAGGTTATTCTATCGAAAATACTTGCGTTTCTTATCGATGTGTAAGTGCTCTAAAGTTGATTGTGACTCTGTGGCATAGAAAATTAAATTCAACCAAGAAGTTAGGCCAATGACGTTGAACAGATACTACTAACTATTCCTCTAACCTCACGTCAATTTAATTATTCATAAAGATAGTTTTAGGTTATAGGCCGAAAAAATATAAATTTCAGTGTTCCTCAGATACATTTGTGACAATAATCAGAATAAACCTGAATTTTTTTTTCCACTAATTTCTGATTTGGGAAGAGTAAAGACTCCAACTTATTAGCTTTTGTTTTGCCCCACCCTTTTCGACTGCCTGTCCTTTGAGACCAGGGTTGCAAACCTTACAATACAGTTTTACTGAAATACAGTCCATGACTGCCTAACTTTGTTGGAAGTTAGGGGGAGGGGGCAAAAGTAATGTCGATCTAACATAGTTATATAATTGTGTGCTAACACTAACTGTAAAAGGTGTTGTGGTAGGGGCAGGTGCTCTTCTACTGTCTCTTATGTGCCTATGAGAGTGGCCTTTTTTAGTTTTTTGTTAAATTAGACTTTTTTTTTATTGACTGTTCATAAACTTAAGATAGTATGCAACCCTGTTTAAGAACCCTTACAGTATCATGGGGATTTGGAGCAAAGAATTAAAAGCCAACAAGTATAACACTTGTGTTAAATTTCCTGACACTTAGCCTAAATATACCATGTGGATCACAAATCTGACATGACAAGATATAATTTTCTTAACAACATTTGCAGAACCCTTCTGTACTCCACATCTTGCAATATAAATGACTAAAATGCTTGTATCATGGATGTATTGATAGATACATGTACTAACTTGGTGTGAAACCCCTCAAACAATTAACAAAATATTTATCAAGCTTAAGCTTGAATTAACAGCATCCACCACATTTGAAGGCAAACTGTTCCAAAGGCTGACCACCTTGTTAGAAAAATAAAGCTGTCTTAGCTGAAGAAGACTCCAACATTGCTAAAATTTATATTTGTGTCTCCTAGTCTTACTATTCTCACCATTAAATATTAAAAAAAAAGATACATCAACACTATCAATTCCCTTAACAATTTAAAACACCTTAATCAGATTCCCTCTGACTCTTCCTTTTACAGGAGAAAAAAAGTTCAGAGAGTCCAAGACTGAACACAATACTCCCAGTGTGGCCTATCCAATAACCTATATAATAACATTATAGCCTCTTTATTTCTGTAGGTACAACCTGAAAACCTATGTGTCCTACCACTAGCACACAGCTTGGATGGTTTAAGAAGCTCATCAACCAGAACACCAAGATCTTTTCTTCCAAAACACCGTTAGTTAATTCCATAATTCAAATTGTGATATCCCACATGCATTACCTTGCATTTATTATAATTAAATGCCATCTGCCATATCAATGTGTAAAGTAGTAACATCCTCCTCATAGCCAGCAACACCTAAAACTGTAATGCCATCAGGAAATTTAAATACACTTGATCAGCACTTCATTTATATTATTGATGTAAATCAAACAGAGCAAATGTTCTAACACTGAGCCTTGAGGTACCCCATTCATGAAATTAACCTTCTATCTTCTTCCATCTACCTAGTTTTTTATCCGTCGAATCAATCTATCCCACACATATTCTCCCCCTAGTGAAACCATGCTGACCAACCATCAAAATAAATTTGTAAAGCATACTTTAGAAACCTTCAAAAAGTTTTCCAATCACTGATGCAAGACTAATAGCCCTATAATTACTGAAACAATTTTTATCACCTCACTTGAATAAAGAGAAGCAACTTTAACCAACTTTTTATTGGATTAATGAACTAAAATTTCCTCTGATACAAGTTGTATGTATTGAATTTAAACATTTCAATTTAACATATTTGATTATTATTTTAGTTATTGCACATAAAAGTTGAGGGAAAGATATCAAATAATATCTTTAATATCTATCTACATGAACTAAGGAATTTTAAACAGTGGTCATAATCACTCACCACTAGGCCATTGGATATATAGTGGTCATATAATCACTCATCACTAGCCCATGGTATATCTAGTGGTCATATAACCACTCATCATTAACCCATGAGATATCTAGTGGTCATATAATCACTCATCACTAGCCCATGGGATATCTAGTGGTCATATAATCACTCATCACTAACCCATGTGATATCTAGTGGTCATATAATCACTCATCATTAACCCATGTGATATCTAGTGGTCATATAATCACTCATCACTAACCCATGTGATATCTAGTGGTCATATAATCACTCATCACTAACCCATGTGATATCTAGTGGTCATATAATCACTCATCACTAACCCATGTGATATCTAGTGGTCATATAATCACTCATCACTAGCCCATGGTATATATAATGGTCATATAATCACTCATCACTAGCCCATGGTATATATAATGGTCATATAATCACTCATCATTAACCCATGAGATATCTAGTGGTCATATAATCTCTCATCACTAGCCCATGGTATATCTAGTGGTCATATAATCTCTCATCACTAGCCCATGGTATATCTAGTGGTCATATAATCACTCATCACTAGCCCATGGTATATATAGTGGTCATATAATCACTCATCACTAACCCATGGTATATCTAGTGGTCATATAATCACTCATCACTAACCTATGTGATATCTAGTGGTCATATAATCACTCATCACTAGCCCATGGTATATCTAGTGGTCATATAATCACTCACCACTAACCCATGTGATATCTAGTGGTCATATAATCACTCATCATTAACCCATGGTATATATAGTGGTCATATAATCATGCATCACTAGCCCATGGCATATATAATGGTCATATAATCACTCATCACTAACCCATGGTATATATAATGGTCATATAATTACTTACCACTAATGTTAGCAAAGAGACTTATACAGATTGTTAACCATAAAAAAAAAAGAGAAATATTAGATTGAATGAATTAAAAATGTTTTTGTTAAATAGAAATTATCCAGAGGGCCTAAATGACAACTGAATATTTTGCACCAAATTATATGGACCAAAAGCTATTAATAAGACAGAAATGTTACAAGTTGTTACTACATATATCACAGGATTGAAAATTAAAATCAATGAGAGTAAAAAGTTTGATTAATTCTTGAACATCTATAGCAGTAAGTAACGCCAATGTCATTGTAGCTTATGGACACCCAAAAAATTTAACCATTTGTTATAAATACAAAACTGAAAATAGACAAGAAGGTATCACTCAGTGTAATAACCCAAGACATCAATTCTGTAATTAGGTTATATTATTAATACCATTATTAAAACATAAATAAAACCACTGTGTTTAAAAACAAAAGATATATTTTTTTGCAATTCTAAGAACTGTATATATATATATATATATTATAATGTATAGTGTGTTCTGAATGTTAGGTTGGCCAAACTTAAAATTTAATACATTTATTGAATCAACACAAGTTTCATGTTAACATCCCAAGTCAGAGTCCATTAAGGTGTCTTGAACTTTTTTACAATTGCGTCTCAAGTACCCATGATATATTACAAGAACCGTTAATTTTCTGTTTTCCATTTTTATTCTTGTGATAATCACAAAAAGATTATTATATGAAAATTATTTCATAAAAAAAAAAGAGAAAATAATGTGAAATTTTATGTAAATAAATTTTGAATTTCATAAGTATTTAGTTATGTTTTATTTACATGTTATTGTTATGGATATTAAATTATATATATATATATTTATTTATTTATCTATTTATTTATAAGATTACACTGTTTATGGATTTGAAATAACATAAAATTCATTTATATTTTTCTTAATATATTTTTACTGGGATGTATATATTGTATAAACATTGATTTTTTTAAAAATTATTACGTATTGTATTTAATTAGGTTGCTGAAGAGCAGTGTAAGCTGTGAAAGTGCTTCAAACCTGGTGCTCCTTTTAATATCTTTGATATATTACTACACTCCAGAAATTAACTCCTTATATATATATATATATATATATATCATATCAAATAAAATACTTAAGAGTAGACATAACAGTTCTTAGCATGTTAATGTTCTGTTTACACAATATTTAGATACTAGTAGTTCAGTTCATGTTGGTGTTTTATTCAGACCCATACTGTACTGTTATTGCTAGTTCACTAATTAACTTCTCCTTTATCTTCTTTCAATAATTAAACAAAATTAAAATTTTTCCCACTCCAATGAAAAAATATCAAAATGTTTAAACGTTATTCTATACAGAGAGAGAAAACTCATAGTAAGAAAATGAGGATAAACAATCGCCCACATTTTCTTTAATTAAACTTATTTTCCCTAAAGGTTTCTAGATTGACCCGTGTGACAGACCAAGGTGTTTACAGGTAAACTTACACATTAGTTTGTTATAGTTAAATTTTACTAAAACAGTTTAAAATGTTTTTCCATTATTTAGTTTTTAAACTACACCATTTCAGCTAATCGACTATGCTTGTATTTTTCTTGTTTAGATGGACCAAAAGAGCCGTTTTCTCTATCTGTATTACATCGCACAACCAATGTGGCTAAGCAAAACAACTGGACATCAAAACACTTTCCTTTGTATGGATAAAAAATACATACCACTAATTCTTTTCTCTTCTTCAGTGGACAATGCACTTCCAATATCTTGGGATCCTTGAATTTCACGAGGTTCTGTTACGCAAGAATTTCTTGAATCTAACTTCTCTTCCTTTTTATCAACCTCCATCTCTGGTTTAAGTTTTGTAGGTGGTTTATCATCAGTAGCACATTGTATGTTTTCTGGAAGTGTCTGCTGATGTTTCATTTCTATCTCAGTGCAAACTTCCCTGTCAACTGAAGGAACAACTTCAGCGTTTGAGTATCCCACTTCTAGCTGGGATGTAATAGATACTGGAGCCATATCTTCAGCTGGCTCATTGATACTGAGTTCACTACAATCTTGAATACTGCTAGAACAAGTAGGAGCAAAGACATCAGAACTACTTTCTTGTGGTAGATCACTGATTGTAGTGCCCAGAATGTCAGCTTTTCCAGAAGAAATACATTCATCTGGTTCATCAGCAGAATTAAACACGGTTGATTTCTCTGGGGAAACGTCAAGCTTGGGAACATTAAGATTGGACTTGGAAGGAGCTGACATCTCTAACTCCCCATCCTGAGCTCCCACAGGTTTTTCACTTGGCAGTCTACAAGTAACATCATCATTAATGGCTTTATCTACTTTATCTATCTTCAAAGAGGTTCCAACAGAGATGTCTTTTTCACTAACGTGATTTGTCTCTGCTTGCATAGACTGATTGTTTAACACAGTTATATTACTAGAAGTGCTAGGACTTACTACGGCTGACGTTGAGACTAATGAGACAGTGGTCTGTGGTGGAGTTTCTCTTGAATTTGGTTCTTTCTTAGAGGTTATTGATGTGGCGGCAGCAGCTACTTGAGTGGCAAACTGTGCAATGATCTCTTTTCCTGTATTATCCTAAAAAACAAAAACAGTAGAGAACATTAATTAACTTATTAAACAATTACATTAATTGATAAATTTAAAATAAGTACTCAGTTCTTTAAACTCCTGAACATGCTGTATTAAAAATACTGCCTCACAATAAATAATTTAAGGTCTTGTGTCTGGTTAAAGATTTGCAAATCAGGATGTACACAATCAACCTGTCATTTTGTGATTTATATTATAGAAATACAAATCGATCCTATGAAGACCTTATATCTCATTTTCTAAATCAGCATAATTTATGATCATTACAAGTACTTTATTCCATAATCTGATTTGCTGTGCCAAGTTTGATCCTGAACGATCAATCACACTTATCTCTGTCTGAAGCATTTTTTTACACTTTTATCTGGGTTCTGACTCGTAAAATAAAACTCAACAGAAATAATACTTATTCTAAATTTGCAGTTTCCAAATAATGTGCAAATTTGTTGTTGTATTAGGTTGCAAAATGTAAATTCGGTAATTTAGATATAATTATATCTAATTAACAAACTTCATTACACCAATTTCTATCCATATTTTTCAATCAAACATTAGCACTCCCTAGTTACTTTTGCAATATAAAAAAAAAAAGACGTGTTGCAAAAGTTAGCTTTAAAGAGCCACAAACTGAAGTGTACCATAGCCATTGCCAACAATGCATATCCCTCAATACAGAGCTCATCAGGCCTGCTGAAATGCAACAAACACAGTAGTGGTTGGAATACTATTTATAAAAGCCTCTTTGTTTCAACAAAATTGTTATAGTATGAACACTTTTTTGAAGCTGGCAAAATATGATTATAATTAATTATACTTGTGACAAAATATTATATTTTTTTACACTACATTCTTTATCCAGTCCCTTAGGGGTTTTCAAAGAATAAGAAAACCATATGGTAGTATTTCAACAACACTATGTCACTAAGTCCGTTCCTGATGACACAATTGTCCTCAGTAAAGGGCTCATCAGGTCAGTTGTGTGCCACAACAATCATTGTCTTTATTGCTGCATACTTTTAAAACCTTCGATTAGTTTAAATACTATCCAGTTATTCAAACTATAAGCTGGCAGCAAAGCACAGATATAGATAATTTAGCTAATAAGTCAAAAATACAATAAAAGCATTCTCATAATATCAACTTACATTGGTAGTATTACTACTTGATTCTTTACTATTCAAAATTGTTTCAGTTACATCCTGCCCAGTGTTCGGGTCTTGAAGTCGAAGAATCTTCTTTTCCCTTACAACTGTACTGGAAGTTACATTTTGAGAAAGTGGAGGCATCGCTGGTGGTCCCATCATAGAAGGAACAACCGAATAATAGTCTATAGGAAAACCAAAAAGATAACTTACCAGGGATGACAACATAAACTAGTTTTATGTGTCTTGTAAGTAAATTTATATTTCATTATTTCTTTAATGCTAGTTTTATTAACAATAATGGTTAATATATATATATGACTTTTTAATTAATTGATTTATCTATTATGTTTTTTATTGCAAGGACTATTTTGATTTGTTAACTTAGTATATGGATTTAGGACAAATTTAAATCTCTTAATTGTCAAACCTAACAATGGATTAAATCAGTTTATTACAGTCCCGATAACTTTACACATATAGACACATCTTTACAATGGAAAATTAAGTCAATAATCCATACATATATGCACATTGTAAATCCAACAGCTATTTCTTATAATGCTCTTGCATTTCTTTTGGATACATAAATCGGTAATCCCTACATGACTCTACAAAAGTCAAGAAAGGTCAGATCTGAACAGGAAACGAGGTGATAATTGCTGACCACAAAACACCTGCACTAACTTGTGGATACTGATTATCAAGAAAGGTCAGATCTGAACAGGAAACGAGGTGATAATTGCTGACCACAAAACACCTGCACTAACTTGTGGATACTGATTAAAGACAATTTTACTGAGAATGACGTCAACTCATACTTAGTGCTCTAATGTCCATGAAAGATTTATGGGTGGAATAAGAAAGCCTAGCTGATGTCAGTTTTGTTCTCAGAATGGCTGGAGGATCGAACAGAAGGATGCACTCAAACAATGGAAAACAATCAATCTCCTCCTGGACGGTACTGCTGCATCAGATTAATAGCTGTCTAATGTACCACTTCCTACTAAACACCACATCACTGTTACAGCCTGTAAATGTTGGCATAATCCTGTTCGTTGGTTTGTGACATCATAACCTTCTTTAGGTTCCTGTTCCTTGGTTTCTGACATCAATCTTCTGTGCTATACGTAAGTTTGTAATTCATTTGAACAAAACATTATTTTACGTGAAGATAATGAAATGATACTTTAAGTATGCAATTTATGTAATTATTAGTGATGTACAGAATAATAAATTGATAAATGTATTGTACACACAGTTGTTTTTTTTATCACTTGTATCTCCACCCTTACTAGTTTAAACTCTTTCATTTATTAATCAATAATACATGCTATTATTAGTGTCCACTGTATTCAGAATTATTGAATTGACAATTCAGATGTCTCAATAATCTGAATGAATAGTGTGTTACAAATGTGTTCAGACTAACAAAGTTTAACTGTATTTATTGGTTTCATTATTAGTTCTGATCTGTGGAGGTAGCTTGCTTTGATCAGAAGTTATTTTTAATGATGCACCCGTTAACTTTAAAAATGATAAGTATTTAGGTAACCTAACAGTTAACAAACACGAATGTTATGTTTACATTCTAGCAACTAACATACAGAAATTTCATATCTACAATTGTTAGCACATAACAAAGGTATGTGTACGAGTAACTTAACTGTTGGCATGGAAAAATGTTGTAATATGTACAAATAATGCAACTGTTGGCTTGTGAGAATGCACAATGTGTATAAACAATGTGACTTTTAGCTGGTGTGTAAGAAAGTTGTGATGTGTACACAATTACTGTTGACCTGTAAAAGTATTATTATGATGTATACAGACAATGTGTCTGTTGGTCTGTAAAAGTATTATTACGATGTATACAGACAATGTGACTGTTGGCCTGTAAAAGTATTATTACGATGTGTATAGACAATGTGTCTGTTGGCCTGTAAAAGTATGATCATGATGTGTATAGACAATGTGTCTGTTGGCCTGTAAAAGTATGATCATGATGTGTATAGACAATGTGTCTGTTGGCCTGTAAAAGTATGATCATGATGTGTATAGACAATGTGTCTGTTGGCCTGTAAAAGTATTATTACGATGTATACAGACAATATGACTGTTGGTCTGTAAAAGTATGATCATGATGTGTATAGACAATGTGTCTGTTGGCCTGTAAAAGTATGATCATGATGTGTACAAACAATGTGACCAATGACTTGTAATAATGGTCACATGATGTGTACAATTATTTTGTAAGAAGGGTTTGATTACCTAGAACAAAAGTTTAAGAGAATGTAATAGACAATTATGGTAAAACACAGCTTTATATATTTAAAAACACTTTTCATATAAACAAATTTTGTCAACATTTATGCACTGTCAAACTTGAAACTCACATTGTTGTTGCATCTGTGGGTTAAAAGCATAATGATGGTTTGCCGTTGTCAAAAACATATGTGGATGAGTGGTGGACAAGGAATGCTGCGAACTGGTCCCATATTGTTGAGGCCGATGATGATACTGAAAGATAAAGATCAAATCGCTACATGACAGACACCTTCTACAATATGACCTCTACATTCTAGACAAGTTACGTCAAACTAAATACAAAATTTTAATGATAACACTTTCCTTACCTAAAAATGTATTTCAGATAGATACTGAGAGCTGATAACTGTGAGCCATTACCTTAAACCACCACCGACAAAACGAATTTGTGTGTGCACCAAGCATTTTAAAGAAACTCCCATTCCTACACGTAATAACATGTAATGTACCAGTCTGTGATGTAGTCAACATTAAACTACAGCCCTCCACTAACAGGAGGAGGATACATCCTCCATGTGTAGTACGTCCTTTGCTTACATTATATACATATCAAAGGTTCATTCCCAATGAGGCAAAAAAAGACACACTGTGGAGAGGTATTTATCTGAAATACATTTTCAGGTAGGGAAAAGTTTAATTTCAGAAATGCTACTCACCTCTCCACAGAACTGAGAGATAGAATCTTTCTGAGGAAATAGTGCCAGAAAGTGAAAAGTCATGATGTGTATCATCCAAAGGAGAAGGGGACCTATAGGGACATTGCTTGGTGAGTGAGACTGCATCCATCTCATATAGGGAATACTAATTGTCCAATAGAAGTGGTAGAGCAAAATATGCTATCAAAATAACCTCCTGCATGGCACTAGTGTCACATAGGTGGGCAAATAGTAACAAATCTTCAATTAGCCTGTATATCTGACAGACAAGGTATTAGGTTATGTCAAATAAGGACAGCAGGCTCTAGCCAGGTGTGAGGGCAGGATCATCATATTATTGATTTTTCAGTAAAATGGGCTGGAAGGTAATATATATATATACACATATTCTGTTGAAGTAGTTTTGTGGAAAACTCCATCTTAACAGTGAGCACTGAGCAAGGGCATATGGAAGATTCTATAGATAAATTTATTTTTTTGTTGTTGTTATTGTGGGATCTGCAAGAAAAAAATAAGAAAATTGGAAAATGGCAACTGGGAATGGAAGAAATGATAATGTTGTTTAAGGTATGTGACAAAGATGTTGGAAACCATCCAAATCCAACCTGAAGTATCACTTCTAGAGGACGTCAATGGCCAGATTCAAGAGTAGCCACGAGATTAGCAACTTTATGGTAGATGACATGTAAAAAATGAAAGGAGTCACTTTCCAGAGAAGTTAGTGAGAAAACCACAGTCCACAGAACAAACTATAAAAAGACTTGAAACTAGAAAAACTAATTTGGATATATTCAATCTCATGTTGTCTTCTGGAGTCTTTTGATAGTTTGTTCCTTCACTGTTGTTTTTTACTAACATTTTAACTGTTACACACGATATTGGTTTACTTTATTACTAAGCTGGCTGAGTGTGTAACCCAACTAGTCACAGTAAAAGGTGATAATTCACAAGAAAAAAAAATGAGGAAACAAATACCTAATTAACGGCAGTATAGACAAGATAACAATAAACTGCCCATATGAGAAAAATGAAATGATCAAACTGAAGGGAGAATATTGGAGAAAACACCTTATCACCCTCCCAGGTAGCCAATCTTAGAGAGAAAGGAACAGTGTGGGAATAACATCAAATCAACTTTTCCCTGGGGTAACAAGTTAAGGAGGTGTCCAAGGAAAAATGACAAAGTGACATCTTCCAAAGCGAGAAGGAGAGAGAAAGAAGAAAATATGTTTTCAGGAAAAGGTGGACAAAGGTTTGAATAGTGGATACATGGAAGCTTTGAGAACTAAACAAAGGTACCAGGGAAGAAGGACCATTGATGAGAAAGGCTCAGAAGTTGTCTGTAAGTATTGGAGAAAGAAAAGAGAAGAGAAGACTGTTGACAAACATATAGAAAAAGGGATTAGACAAATTCTGATTCAGAGCATCCACAGACAGATCTGCAGAGACCTGGTCTGGTGATTTGAAAACTGGAAAAGGTGTTTATGAGAGTGCATGCAAAACCTCTGAAACAATAGATGTAGAAACCACACTGTGGGAAGGGCATGGTATAGTCAAGACAGGCAATTTGCCACCAAGTTCAAAGCTCCTTGGACATGATAAGCTGATAACTGAATGTGGTAGTCATGCATCCAAAAGTGAAAGTCTAAAGATGGAAAGCAGAGGTCCCAAAAACAAATGGCTTCCTGCTGGTTGAAGTAAGAAACAATAGTGGAGTTGTCTGAATAGATCACAACAAAAGAACCAAAGAGTGGAAGTGTTATCTGGACAGAAGGACACCTGTGAATAGGTGTAAGCATGGGCAAGGTAAAGGAAAAAGGATGCTCAAGGTCATGTTGGATCAACTGAGACACATGATGACAGATGAAAAAATGGAGGAAATGGCAAAAAACAAAACAACAACAGTGAAACACTGGATATACTCCAGTGATCAGCCAGTCCACTGAATAGGACACATATGGGTACATCCAAAAACAACATGGGATTCAAGAGAAGTCAAAGTCTCTAAAAAAGACAATCTTTCATGAAGGAAACATGAGAGCTTTGGTAACTGAAGCTCCATAAATCAAAGATGTAAAGAAAGCAAAGACTGTCCCACAAATGAATTGAAAAGAATCCCTTTAAAATATAATAACCTACAGTGATATAAAGTAAAGTATCATATAACTGTTTGTTTCAACACAAAATTACATAACAGGCCATTGGTATTCCATCTACTATAGGAAAACATACCTCAGAGTGGAGCGTTACAAGTCCATAAATTGGCTGCTGATTCACTGTGTTACTTTTCTAAGTGAATCAGATAATTAATGGGGGCAGGGTGGGTTTGTAAAGCTTGAACAGCCACTCTAACAAGGTGACTCCTAAAGGAGAAGGAGAGTTGCAGGCAATAGTAAAAAACAGGCCTAGTAAATGTATTATTGAAGCAAATGTCCTCAGGACTTGAATGAAAACACAAGGGGCTAAAACCAATTTGAAAGGAAGGACTTGGAAGAGGAAAATTTGACAATCTTGGACAAATTAGAGAAAGTGATGGGTGGTGAACAAATCAAAATGTGAAGAAATGCATAAGAAACATCAAACTTTGTTATCCAGGAGAGAACACCCACATCAGATTGACAACATCATCAATCTTGAACCAAGAGATAACACAAAATTGGTTCAAGGACAATAAAACAACAATTGGTCACCAAATGCGTGTCTTTGTGAAAATGACAAAGAGATGGGAGGAAAACACCACAATGGGGTTGAGGGCCTGATACACAACATTTCTAACCTGAAGAGAAAGTACAGCCTCCTCCCCAGGCAGCGAAGATGCAAAGGCAATGAAGGGGTGGAGGTGGAAAGAAAAATATTAACTGTGGAAAGACAGGGAAGGCTCTCAGAAAGCACCTATATGACCCAAAAGTCATCTGAAAAAGAAGTCCACAGATGCACAAAGTTGGAGAATTGATCTCCCACTGACCTGAAGTTGAGAGATGGCTATAGCTACAAATGCTCTCTGTGACATCCAGCCTTCCAAGATGGGGAGGGGATGTCGGAAAGTATCAAGATGATGATAAGCAGCAGAGAGGGCTACCCTATGATGCTTCTGAGGATGAGTGAAATGAGCAAAGAAGGCTGCTGCAAAGCTGCCAGTTTAAATTTCCAATGATTAAGAAACTTCCTCCAAAACCTCACCACGAATGAAGGGTGTCACACAGACGTCCCACAGATAAAACTAAGGGAGGTAACTCCAGAGTGCAAGACATCCCAACCAAGCAAATCTCAGAAAGAACAACAACAAAAAAGTTTAAGTGGGATACTGCAAAAGATTTTAGAAACTTAGGCCAAAGTGGAAAACAGGTTGGTGAAATCATTTCCTAGGGAACCCGTTGGGGTTGTAGAGCCTCTGATGCAAGATGGAATTTGGACAGAGAGCAAAGAAGTTGAGCAAGAGCAAGATAAGGAATGAGAAAGAAGAAATCCCCAAGCTTGAACAAAAGATTCAATAGAATGAAGAACAATCATAACCAAATCTCCTAAAATAAGATTCTTGAGGAAAAGGTAGCTGGGATTCAGTACAAAGTTCAGACAAAAAAACAAAGTTTCAGCATGAACACAACAAATATCAGGGGAAGAACTTAGAAGAAGATTGCTCATGCAGTAAGGTAGCTAAACGTTCAGCAAAAAACAACTGGAGAAAATGAAAATATCACATACCCATGGAAACAACTCAGTAAATGATGAAAATGGGGGTTAACTGGTTCTTGTCAAGAAGGGAAAACCCAGAAGCAAAATCAAGAGGTGGGGGTGGTGGGAATTGTAGGTGAATATCACCACAAGATGAGACATGCTCAGCTGAAGCAACAGAAGTAGGAGGTCAGAAATCCTGGATATAAGATTAGAATGGTGCACACTGTTGTAACATCACTGACTTTCAGAGTTCTTCAAAAGCCATTGAAAATAATAGCAGACAACACCATTTCTAGAATGTCACTTCAGGAGACATCAGAAATGTGGACATATGAATTCATATTCAAGCTGATCTACATACACGTTTTTTTTTAAAGTTGGTCTGGTACATAGACCTTAGTTATTATTGTAATGGCGAAATTGGAGCTTAATCATTGAAACCCAAACACTGCATTAATAATCATGAAGAACAGTACTTTCAAAGACACTCTGGAACATGTCTTGAAATTTTGTAATTTCATGAAGAGAAGAAATCAAATTAATATAATTCAGAACAAAAATTATAACTTAAATATTAAAACAAATTTTATCTTATTTTATGTCAAGAAAATAAAGGTAACATAAAGTCTTAAAATAATGAACACAAAAGTCAGTAATTCCTAGTGAAAAAAAAAAAACGTGTGAAGCCAAGCAATGCTAAGGAAAGAAATGAGCTTGTGGTAATACACAATGTGCTCGATGGCACTTCTGCATGTGTATGATGTGTCATCTTATTAGTGGAAAGCTCTAGTCTAATGCCGACTTCATCAGACTGGCACAGTACACATTAACATATGTTGGGGTGGGAGTTTTGTTCGAGGTTGGCACATATGTAAATCATCTTTTTGGCAGTGGCAGATAAAGTTCTTAGTTTTGTGAATAAGTGAGTAGCATTTTTGGAACAAAAGAGCTCAACACTGACTACCAAGGTCAAAGTGCAAGAGGTCAAAGGTTTAATAGTTCAACAGCTATTTTAGTTCTTTTACTGCATGGACACAAAAATGTCTTCCCTGTGAAACACTGCCATGCAAGTTTAGAATTTTGAACCAAAAGGGGAATTTCTCCTTTAAATTTTTTGGTTTTCAAAGTACATTCACCATATCTGTTTGAAAAGTGCCTAAGTAGAAATTAATACAATGGGAATAGTAGAATGTTAAGTGGTTTTAATTTGTCGAGTAATATATAAAAACTGAATAATTAATAAATCATATGGAGATTAAACACATTTTATGCAGTGTTTGGTTAAGGACTAAAAGTTTAAGCTTTGCCAGTTATTACTTGCTGCTCATTGTAAGTAGTTGATAATTCTTTGATACAAAAGAACACCCAAAGTTTAAAATGATACTAACTGTGCCACTGCTTAAAGACCAATTGAAAGGTGAATAGCTAAAAATAATAGCACACAGATAATTTGATATTTAGTATTTAAGTACTTAAACAGTGATTTAACAGCAAATAAAGAATGGGCCCCCAAAATTGGCCAAACAGCTGCCACCACAACCAGATTAGAAGAAAACACACTAAACTGGTTTAAACTACTTTCCTACACTGGGTGGTTATTAATTGAAAAAAAAAAAAGACATTCAAATCTACAGGGACTACATATTTTATCAACCCTACACATCTTGCAAATATTTCATTATGAAATGTGTTTTGACTACAAGTTTTTTATTTTCCCTTTATCCTAACTAGTTTGGGATCACCTGGTATTTTTGTAAACTAAGAATTTTTACACCATTGTAGCTGGCCCAGTCAGCAACCCTATAAGACAGACATGTTTGGTTAGGGAGATTCGAACTTGTGACACCCAGATTGTGAGTCAAGTACCCTAACCAACAGGCCATGCCAGACTCTTAGCTATAAGTAATGAATTTTAATTGCTATGTGCTATGAAGATGATACATATTTTTATGTATCACAAGGAGTGTTATAATTCAATTTTTACACATATCTTGGTATTAACAACAGCTTTTCATGTCGTTATTCAGCTGTCAATACTTCTCAATATCTACTTACAGGAACAGTTGGTACTGAACCCGGCATCAGCACTGGTTGTGGAGCCATATGAGCTCCATACGTGTGATTTCCTGGGTATATAACACCCATCTGTGTCTGATACTGGGGGGCATGGTTCAGGGCAGATGGGTTTGTATTCATTGTAGAGAGGTTCGACGGGTGCATGTTATGCACATTTTGTGCTGATGGTGGATAGAATGACTGAAAGAAAGTAAAAGTTGTTGTTAGTTTTAAATTTGAAGATAAAAATATATTTAAACTACCCGAATGTTACTCTAATTTGGATTCACTTTTCCAGAGACTACATGAAATATTAAAAATAATTCTAAATCTTTTGTAGACTTTAAGAAACTACCTACACACCAACAGTTACAAAAAAAAATTCCCAATTATAAGTAAAGTTTTCATTTTACAAGCTTTGGCCAAACAATAAGAACATGAGTACATATGCAAAATAAATATATAAGTATAGCAAAGAATCCTACTTTATAACTCATCGGTGAAACATTTTAACACTGAAAGAATTAATTGATCAGATTTCTACAGTATTACACTCATAAATTTAAAGGTAATCTCTGCTTTTACTGTAGTCTGTATTACATATTTATTATCATTTATATTTATATGACAAACATGGGCAGGTTGTATGGTATTCAAAGATTTTGTTTTTGTCAACTTGCCGTGATCCCAGTCTGAGGTCCAGAAAGCTGTTGGTGAGGTACAGTCCCAGCTCCACTAACAGTTGGTTTAGGCATGATTGGTTGAGGTTGTTGGGAGTGCTGAAGCCCTGCCATTGACACACTTTGCTGGGGCAGGGGACCAGGTTTACTCATGTCATGAGGAGAAGCACTTGGGAAAGATGATGGTGTTTATCTGGTAGAAAAACTGTTAAAGTTCACAAGGCTGTATCGATAAACTCACCTATTCATAATAGGCTAAAACATGAAGATAAATATGTGTTACAAGTCTTTCTGCTGCAGTAATACTCAAAGTTACACACATACATCCAGCAAATGGCTAATCAAAGATACAATTAAGTTAAAGTCGTTTTCTAAGAAAATCTAAATGATAAATTTTTAACATTAAAATTTTTTTTATTCAAATACAAAATTAATTTTCAGAAACTGATTCCCATTTTTTTTTATTAATATAATCAGTTATCGTATATAATCATTGTATGTTACACGTGAGCATTGTTTCAAGAAATATAAATATCCAGACAAGGGATCAAACCTCAGGGAAGCAGCATCTGTTGTCAATACTTATTAAGAAATATGCAAATTATAAGTTTTTTTTTAATACAACATAAAGTAAAAATCTTTATTATTGGAATCTGTCAGACCTGGACAGGTGTCGTAGAGGTAAAAATTCCAATTACAAAACTTTCCCTTACGATATTTTACAGGAAAACTTTTGATACCTTATTACTGCTCTAAAGTACAGTATTTCTAACCTAACAGCAGTTTTAAACAATGATACATGTTGTAAAAAAACATTTATAACTACAGCATTTTAAATGTGAATCACAGTACAGGTGGCTAACAACTAAAACCTGCCAGGAGGAAAAAAATGTAAACAAAGCCATAGTAGTGCCACTAAGCTACAACGAGCATTTTTACTTGAAGATAATGGAATTTCCAGTACCAAGAGCTTTCCGGGTATGAAGATGTCGGATAACAAAGCTTTTATTTTATATAAGATTTTTTAACTACAACCTTCTTGAAATAAATCTCAAAATAAAACATAATTTATCACTATAATTTTAATTCTATCTATATATGATTAAACTATGATAATAATATTACTTATTAATATGAACCTAATAGCACACAACAAATATAAGCAGACATCACTCTGCTATACCAAACTAACATTGAATTTATAAATTGTCGAAATACATAATACTGTAAAATTGTAACAAAACTCTGTAAAAATGCTGACAGAACATCAAGCTTCTAAACAATGAAGTAAGTGAAAGATAAACAGAAAATAATGCAAAATATTTTACAGTGTAATATGAACTTAATCCAGTAATCGGTTGTCCATCTTTTTGCTACAGATCATTGAATTCTGTTTCATTTTATTTTTTTTAAACATTATGTCTCAGTGTTGTCTTGAATGGAAGAGGGTGAATTTATAGGTATTTCATATCTTATTTGGTTTTAGTGACTTTTGTATTAGGGACTACTTTCTTCATACTTTGATCCCAACTAGTTTAGGGTCAGCCAGTATATATTTTTTAAATCAAAAATGTTTACACCATGTTGGCTGGCCCAGTCAGCAGCCACGTAGGTGGTGCATGTTGAATGACAGAGATTTGAACTTGTGACCTTCAGACTGTGAGGACTCATAAAATGTGTGTACATATTTATATATGATAATTATTATAACTTTCTTTACATTTCCTCTTAAGACTAAACTTTCAATGCTGTTTAGTAATATTTAATTATCCATAATGAATAACGTACAACCAAAAAGAGACACCCAATCCTGAGGAAAAGTAAAAATTTAAGCCTACCCTATATTTTTAAAGAAAAAAATCTATTCCTTCCTGAAAGTGTCGTAAGGTGACAGTGTCTACTACTGTCTGTTAGAAATACAGTCCTACCTGTAGCTTCTCCTATGTTTTTCAGACCATATCATTTTTGTACAACAAGCAGAGAATAAAAAAATGCTGATAATTATTCAGTGAATTAGAAAAGAAATATCTAAAAGTGTACTGTCTAGTTTTAGCGTATATGACAAATTTGCAAACAAGATTTCACATCATATAATATTCTACTTGTCATTGTTTAGTTGTGCTATCTAATTACTCTTTACTGAAATTATGTAGAAATTTAAAACTTTACAAAAGGCACAGCAGCTACATAAATTTAAAGTACACATCAAAATTCAATTAAACAGGTGACTTAAAAAATTACCTACATCAACTGTTTGAAAAACTTTACTCAACACTAGATCACATTAGTATGCGTTTTATTGGCTCTGTTTCCAAATTCTTCTACTTTCAACATAATTTCAGCAAAAACAAAACTATGGCATAATAATACATACATTTAATATTCTACCTTAAAGTCTGAGGATCTTAAAGACCCCTTTTTTTTTTCTTGGAAAAATGCCATATTCCCCCTTTCAAGTCTTTTTCGTTAATCTAAAAATACCTGTACCTTATGTCTTGGCAGCCTACCTTCACCTAGGTGACTTAATAAAGCATACTGAGAAAAATTGTGTCAATGTCATTAGTTAAGCAGTAGTTGATGGACACGCAAAGTTGGCAAGTGTTTGAGGTACGACATAAAAACCTGTATGTGTTTAAACTTAAGTAATAAGTACAAATAATACAGCAAAACATGTTCATTCTCATCATTACAATTCGTTAAAACATTAAATAAACTGAGAAATGTATATCAATTTATGAGGCTTAATAACACAGAAAGATTAAGACTATTAAGGGCCGTAACTTCTACAATAATTTGATGTTTTTTAAGGGCATTATAGTTCTTTAATCCTACCAAAAACAAAACTATTTCCTTTTTCCGAACATTACCTCATCGTTACACACCATAAAAGAACTATCGAAGATCTTACTCTCTTCATACAAACAGGTCATAGTAGATACCTTGAAGTACTAACCACTTCAAAATAGCAGGCAGCTGAAGTACAGAATATTTAGATATTTTTCAGAGAGAGAGAGAGAGACAATCCAAAGTGTAACAGAACGACAAAACATTATATAAGATTGTCAAAACCTAATTCCATGCTAGTGGAATATCACACATCTAACCAAGGTTCCTGGACTATAAAGACACCATAAATTTAGCAAACCATGAAACTTCAACTATTTTTTGACATTAAAATTTTCAGACCAATCAAAAATAAAGATTGCCTCTTATTAAAAAAAAAAAAGTATTACAATACTTTTTTTTTTTCAAATTCAAAGTTTCACATAGTTCTAATATAAAAATTTGTTGATTAATATGTAAGTTAACATAGAAATGGTGATTAAGAATAAGAATATTTTATCAACATGATTTTAATTCATTCAGTCAGTTAACTATACTGTTACATACTTCTATGCTCCATGTTCAAATTTAATGAAAATATGTTACCCATCCACATTAATTCACCTTCCCTCCTTTTTAAGGTTTATACAATGTTCTAACTACAAAAAAAATTAAATATAAAAATGTCATTTGAAGATACACTTATTAGACAGATATCTTGGCTTTATTCAGCCAGTTATACCCTGTTTTCAATGTACATATAAAAGTGACTTTGTAACTAATACAATACTAAATGTCAATTAATTAATTTGTTAGTCATCATAGGATAATTCGATCTTACCAAACATATACAAGTTTTTGAAAACTGTGTACCTTTGGAAGCTACTTCACCAATAATTAATAGCAACAATGTCAACCAGAAATATAAGCCAGTAATCAAAACTTACAATAACCAAACAAACTTATAAACATTCAACAATTTATCGCCCTAAGAAGTATTAGTAATTCTGTTTTGGCTTATAATTGTAACTTTAGCAAGAAGTTTGTAAATATTTTCTAGTTTAATGGGACAATTCTTCTTATATTTGGAATAAGAACTATTAAAATATAGGCTACTGTGCTTGGTATTAGATAACAAAACTATGAATATATAATACTGAATTGTAAAAATATAACTTTTCCAAATTAAGTTTATTTTTTTTCATTATCACTCATTAAAACTTCAACTCTACTGCCAAGTATTTTTTAGAAATAAACCTTAGAAACTAACTTAAATTTAAGCATATTAAAATATACAGAAAGTGTTAAGTGTTATTTCAAACATTTTTTTTGTATTTTGTAATGTATCAATAATGCTCATTCATTCATTTTTCATGTTACTTCTTAAATTAATACCTACAATTAAATATGGCCAACAGTCTACATACAAAACTGTTTTTTTGTGTGTGTGTGTTTTGTCTAAAAAAATTTTTAATCAAAACTTAATTATTGATATTCACCAAGTTAATTATTAATCAGATCATTTACACTTATCACATTTTCACGTTCTTTCACCTTTATATTTAGGAGTTATTCATAACAATATATTTTTTATTGTCACAATTCAAAAAAATTATAAGACTACTAAACATATTGTATAAAATAAAATGTTTCTAAGGCAGTTACATTCTTTAAATCCGTTAAGCTTATATTTTCACTTAAAACCACAACTTTTTCATATCCCAAAAGTAGAGAACGTTTAAAGAGGGCTTATCAAAATTGTCTTATGATTACGAGTTCTCAAATGTACATAAACAATCACGTTATAACACCCATCGAACTACTGGAGTAATCGCTAAATATGTCAAAATAAACATAAGAATAAATTACCTTAATAACAAATTCTGATACTTATCATATCTAATATCACCACATACACTGAAACAACGTAAAATAATCATAAACCGTAAAACTCGATCACCTTCAAATCTGACCTCAAAACGTGTCCATATCACATAAATATATTCGCAACTAACTTCATAAATATCCTCAATTTCGCGCCCTTTTCGAACAGATATTTCGTAGTAAAACAATAAAAAGTATTACACCCAACTGCGCAAATTACAAACCTGACGAACAAAACGTTAATTCTCTATGGTGAAATAAGACAAGAGCACGTGACACGTAAACACCATCGCCAGCTAGGGGAATCCACTTCCGGTTTCCCTGCATTACAAGAGGCTAGTGACACAGAATGCGATCGTCAACGTATAATTCAGTGTAACGTTGCAAGTAGTTATCTTATGCATTACGTGTCAGGACAGATAAAACATTCAGGTCAATAGAACTTTCGATCACTGAAAATACCTATCAAGTAAACCAAACTGTGTT